TAAATCTTTTGTTCAATTTTACTTTTAGGATAATACACAGTTTGTTTACCCTTATTCAAATATTAAGAACATGATCAAAACAATCACAATTCAATATGAAAACACTTCTTCTAATGGAGTTAGGATATGTTACTTCAACAACCTCTTCAAAAATCTCATAGTAATCTACATCGCCGTCCGTTTTATTGTTTGTTTTAACACAAACATCCAAATTACAGGTCTTATTTTTTTCTTTTGAACGGGTTCTTGTATTGAACATGCAGTCATTCACATAAAAAATTATGTCAAATTTCCACGATACGTATGGGTCCCCAACCCAGATCCATTAAGCCCTAATCTGTTACTCCATTGTTTTAATCATGAATCTATGAATTCATAAATAATCATGTGAGATGAGTAGCAAATATGTCAAATTCTAACTTACGTGTGTTGTAAACTATTAGGCAAACTTATTCTCTATCTAATAATAAATGTTGTCATTTTTTCTATTTCTCTTTCGTAACTAATACACACTATTTCTTGGGTATGATTTATAAGTCAAATCTGAATTCAAAAGTTATAATTATTATGGTTTTTTTTTTCAGGATAGATAAAGCCTTCTTACCCTACTCTGGCAGTTGCTTTGAAAACTAAATGGAGAAACTTTTGATAGAGTACAAATTCTGAAGTGATTTTTAGGCTTCTCCAAGAAATGTGTGAATATACCATTGATAATATAAGAGTTTTCATAAGTTCAAAGATTATGCATATGAAGAAGTTTCTAGAAAAGTTAAAGAAATATTTTAAATTGAGGTGACTTTTAAATAATGCAAGACTCAAATAAACATCGAAGATCTATTAGTAATTGACTGAGTCTAATCACATATTATTTTTTAAATGAGGTCCTTTTTATTCTTGATCTCATAAAATATATTTAAAAAATTGATGAAGTTATTAAATTGAACTTATACTTAGAAAAGATACAGCATTTAAAATTTATCTCAAAACCTATAAATCTATTTGAAATTTATCATTCACTTATTTTTAAATTTATCATTCACTTATTTTTACATAAAATTGCTATCTTTCTTTGTACTTCTTTAAACCATATTGTATGGTAGAAAGACATAATAATCGAGCCAAGTCAAGTATATCATGGATTAGACTTTGGTTCGGTCAAATTGTGAGTTGTTCATTTTCAATTCAAACATGACCCGAGCATGCAAGGTTTTCTGTATTTTATAATCAAAATTGTTTGGTACAAACAAACACATTATGATGCACATACGTTTCATTTTATTTGAAATGAATTTGTTTGAGGTACTTCACATTAAGAGTCTGTTTGGGGCAGCTTAAAAGTGCAGACGGCGTTTTGAAAACACCGCCCTAGTGTTTGTTTCATGCGTTTCAATAACTTATCCAAAAACGATGTTTCTTATTTGTGAATGATGCCGCCCGCAAGAGGATGCCAGCGTCTCACGTTTCGTTGGCGTCCTATTACTCCGCTGCCCTCGTTTGCATCTGTCGTTCCCATATCCCTTCCCCTCGTTCGCATCCTCTGCCTAGCCGCTCCTCCCTCTTCTTCGGCAATCGATAGGTATAACCTCTTCATTCGGCTTCTTCTTCATCCTCGACATTTCTTCTTCTTCGTCGGCATTTCTTCTCTTCGGCATTCTCGTTTGTTTTTTTTTTTTTTTTTTTTTTTTTTTTTTGCTGTGAAAATCACAATCTTTCCCTCTTTTGGGTGGATTGCCAAAGTTTGGAAAGATGAGAAGGGACGGGATCCTAGTGAAGTCAGGGATTTTGCCAAAATTCATCTGCCAAATGTCCATCTCTCCTGCATAGCATTCTTGAACCCCTTTTTCTGCATTTCTTGGTGTTGTTTACACAAAAATTGGTTGCAGGAATTCTAAAAGAGCAGCAAAATGCATTATTTCAAGTGAGGCAAGAGAAAAGGAGGTGGTATTGGGGTCCAAGACCTCGCCAAGTTTGATTTGCTTAGATCTTTAGCCTTTCTTTTTGGTTTCCGATGGATTTAAACACACTTCTGAGTTGCAGGAATTAGAAGCTCTTGTTGTAAATTTTCTGTCCAGCCAAGTTCAGGAGCAAGAAACTTCAATAAACAGCATAACTGCACCTTCCCATTGTATGCGGCAATTTGTTTTTGCTTTCTTAGCTGGCTCTAATCTTAACTGTCTCATTAGGATTTTGGTGTTAAATCTCGTTGTTTTTCCACTAGTCTCGAGGTCTACTAAAATTTGTCTTTTTTACATTTTTATTACCAAAATGTTTCATATCACAAAAAATACTAATATTTCATTTTTTTAATGAAAAATAGGTTGAAGATTAGGTGTTAGGTGTGCAAATACGTATGAATTTAGTGCTATGTATGTCAATCTTGCTCTCACCCTCTCTATATATGCATCCATCCATCTATAGAATTGTGTGGTATGTATGTAAATGTCCAATAAAATGATGAAGGAAAGTTAAAGCTTTTTCATTTTCTTGCAATAATCAGTTGTACCTTGCGTGCTACAGGCATCTTTATTTAATAATTTGTCATTTTGGCTTTTATTTGGTGAAAAAAAAAATATTTATTGTCTCTAATATTGCATATTAACTTGTTGATGGATTAATGGTGAATTCTGGGATCCAAAACAATTTTGAAAGGTGCTGATAAGATTTTAGCAGTATAAAAATGATAAAAACTTGGTTGAAGCATTTATGGATTTGTTCATCTTGATATCAAATTAATGCAATTTATACTTGTAAATTGGAGGCTTATGGGAGCAGAATAATTTGTTGAATGTTACATATTTGAGCTATACCTGTCAGAAGATGGTCATACTCTAATTTTTTTGAGGTCAACTACTTCTGTTATTGAGAGCACAAAAAAAATATCAAAAAATTTGTAAAACTTGCAGATTTGGCAGAATTCCTTTCTCTTTCTTTTATACTACTCTTTTCCATGAGCATGGGTAAGCTTACAATGTTGTTCCCAGAGCTAACGTTTGGCTGAGGCTAAAAAATATGTTGCAAAATGTGTAATCGGGGTAGAATGTTAAGATTTGTGATTTATATAACTTTCTAAAAAGATAGTTTTCCTTTCTCATTATCCCCCCATTTTACCTCTTTCCTCTTCTATAATAAAGGATTTGATTTTCAAATGTATGTTTTCCAATGATTATTGCTTGTAGGTTATGCACTTGGAATCATAGCAAAGATAGTTGCTTATTAGTTTTGTCTTCTATAATAAAGATAGTTGTTGCTATTTTGAAATAGATCATACTCTTCTCATAGTCTTGCTTTTGGTGATATTTAAAAAATTAATGTCACTTTCAAAACTGAATGAGTTTTTTCGGTTGGTTTCTGGAGTTGAATGAGTTTCGGTTTTTATTTAAATTATAGCAGTTTTTAAGATTAATTTTATGCACCTAATGTCACTTCCAGTACTGAATGTGTTTAATGTTAAGAATGAGAATGGTTATAGAGTTTGGGAGTTTGAACATGTGCTTATATCAGCTACAATTAGTAGTTGGATTTATATTAGGTTGGCCAATACATGCTTATTATATTAGGGTCATCATATTATAACCCGCAACCCTCACTGTATACATTGTCGTTTTGTTGAGAAAATTATAAATTCTGCTTGGCAGATTGTTGATTTAACTAAAAAAATTGTAAATAAGTTGTTTACAAAACTCACAAACCAAATAGCTAAACAGTTTATCCACAATAGGGGCAGAATAGTCATTCAACTGTTTTCCAAACGCACAAATCAAATAGTCAATCAACTAATCTGGATCAGCTGTTCATCAGCAGATTATCAGAATAAGCTGCTTATCATTAGAAGCTGGATAAACTGCAACTGCCCCAAACAGACCCTAAAACAACCTCATTGATCAACATTTATAACCTGATTAATATTTAAACAATAATTGAGCTCATTTTGAGTTTTGAACATAATTAAAATTCCAATTTAAGGTGGTGTGGTGAATTTTAATATGTTTGTCTTTTCGTGTCATGTTATTTATAGCTACAAGTAATAAGCAATTCATCAATTAGTCAAATATTCTAATCAACAAATTTATTTATATCAAACCAAATTAGAGCCGTCAAAATGACTTGTTCTTCACGAACAACTCGTATTTGACTCGTTAAGTAACTCGTGTTAGATTTATTCGCTAAGCAAATGAGTTAAACAAACAAAAATTTTTACACTCGATATATAAACTAACTGAACACAAACAATTATTTGTTGACTCTTGTTCAGCACAGAAATAACTACATTAAAATGTATATAAAATAGATGAATATTATTTTTAAATAATTTAATTAACTGTAATGCTACAAAAAATTATAATCAATTAAAATTGTTAATTAAAAAATGGAGTTAAATTATATTAGGTTCTATTTAAATACATATTTTAATATAAATAATAAGATTTGAATCTCACCTCTACATTGTTAACAAACAGCTAAGCAAATGAGCGAACAAATTTTTTGCGCTCAAAATATAAATGAGCGAAACATGAATGGTAATATTTTTAACTAGCCAAACACAAGTGGAGCCTAGGTTCACCCAAGCTTGGCTTATTTACACCCCAAAACCAAATAGCAGATTTTCACAAACTTGTATAGCGCCCGGAGACTCGCACTCCAATCACGCAATTTTGCTCAGTCAGTTGCTCAGTCAGACCAAACTTCACCTGATGGTAGCCTAGAATCCCTTGTAGAAAATCAACGGAATGGACTCCAACACAAGCCCATTCATGAAGGGATAATTATACACATAACACAAAAAACATAATTATTTACAAAATAAACGCCCAAAATGATTTTTTGAACTACCGAATCAATACATGTACACATGCTACAAACAAACCATTGAGAAATTGATAAAATTGACGAAAAATTACGTGAATTTTGATTTTTTGAGAGAGAAATCGAGAAGTTAGTTTGTAAATAGCAATGTTTGGAGAGTGATGTATTTAATTGCCCCATATAATAATCATTTAAAGAAATAAAAAAAAATGCTAACATTTTCTTAAAAATAGCTCAATCAAAAAGTTATGACAGGGAACAGTCTGGAGCAAGCAACAAGAACAGTTTAAATAAGAACATCAACAAAAAAATGAGCAAAGGGTCTTTCAGAAGGGTGGGGGGAGCTTTATCAAACAACTAAAGTACTAGGAGCTGTTGATACTTAATCGGAAAACTAGGTGTCAATCCTCTCAACATCATCAAGGATGGCCTTTGTTGGCTTCGAGAGTAGGTCCGTATATTCCTGAAAAGGTGATTTTGCAAAGCGAGTCTCAATCCACAAGTCTGGCGTCAAGAATCCATATGTCTTCATAAGACAATCGAAAGTAGCCTGAACAGATTTTTTATAAAAAAAACATAAATACTGAGCGCTAAATATGTAAAAATTGAAGTTCAGATGCAAGATACGTAAATACATAAGAATTGAGCGGTATGTATGTAAATCTTCATTGAGCGGTATGTATGTAAATATGTATGTAAATCTTCCTTATAAATTTCATCAGCTATTTGATGTAGCACGCTATATTTCAATATTGCAAGAAAAAGTATAGCTTTAACAGGGTTTGCTGCTTGTGTAATCATAGTCTTTCAAGGCTGTTGTAGATTTAAAGAATGCTAAGTACATCAAATTTATTCAATATCCTTTTATTAAAGGGCTAGTTTTGAGTGTTCAGATGTGATTGAATCTTAATTCCAAAAATTGAACAAGGGATTTAAAATATTTATTTAACATAAATAAATAAAAGTGAAATCGCACGTCTTGAATCTCATGTAGATAAAGGTGGCTGTCAGCAAAATAAAATTTGGAGCACTTCGTACTATTGTACAAAGCTAAAATAACATGGGCTTTTAACCGTTGTAGGTTTCGATTGTGCACATACGCAATAGATGCTGGAGCTTCAATAAGAATGGTGGCTTTCAGTAAAACCAGGTTTAGGGTGTTAACTAGATAAAATAAAAAAAATGCAATCGGATATAAAATAAAAAATAGCATTTTATTAAGATAATGCTAACAATTGGTTGAATAAAAACTTTAAATTGGAAAGACTAACAATCTAGCGAGAAAAGCAACGGCATTCAGTACTAGTCAAACTCCATACAAAACTATGAAATGTTAAATTATACTGAAATCTGAAATCTGTGAACATGGTGGCCATGGAGAGACTAGAAACAACAATTCTTGATAAATAAAAGAAACAAACACTAATACGGCAAATTCACATAAATAGTAATTTCACAATCAGAATATACTTCAAAATTAATACTTAAAAAACATATAACAAGAAAATCTCATAATATACCTAAGTAAAATTATGTAAATGAGGCGTGACTCCATGGGCGCATCAATGTTTTATCCCCAAAAAATACTATAAGACTTACGCCTCATTGTACCCAAGGCATGCGCCTCACACAGAGGTGCGCCTCACCTCACTATATGCGAGGCATGCATAATGTTGCTTCGTGATTTGACGTTAAGATGTATGTCACTTCTTTGTGCAATTTGTTATTTCTTACTTTGTTATCATATAGATATGCTACTTTTTTAATATTTTAATATGACAAGAATTTAGTATGTTACATCTAACTTTACACTTTTACGTTTAGAAAAACCATGTTAAGTTAAGCAATATTTTAAGTGTGAAGCTTACACCTTGTCTCATGAATGAAAAAGAACTTGATCCCAACTAAAGAATTTTAAACAGTGTAATATACTAAACCGTCAATAATATGCAACAATATTATTAAAATATTAAACAAACATACAGCATTGTGCATGTTCAAAGAGACACAATTGTCACATGCCGGCCTACATAGGCGCCGGTCCTATTTACTAATTATTAATTTAATTTTGAGAAAGTATTGGGACGATAAATTTTGAATTTCCACCTTATTACAGGTTCAGTTTTTTGCCAAATAGATTATTTGAAATAAATACAATTAAATGATTTAAGTTTGCAGCATATAAACCATAAATACCCTAACATTCAAAACAAGTTATACCATCTCCATCATTAATGAATTTCAAGAGTTAATATCCTAGAACTTCAAGTTCTTGCATGCAAATTAAATCAATGGTTGCATTAGTTGTTTAAATTCCATACTTTGTTATCCATGTGGGCTATTTGAAACCTTTTTAGTATTGGGGGTTGTTTGCATAATTCTCATGTAGTATATCTAAGAATACACCCTCACCCTAGTTCTGAGCACAATTCAATTCATTTTCTTTCAAAGTAAACTGATTCTACTTTCCTATCCGTCTTCTCTTTCCCTGTTTCTGTTTTCATTTGCTAGCATCAAATTCTGTTTCAAGAACTGTGAGCATCATAACCTATCGTGAAGTTAATGTAATTATAAAAAGATGAACAAGATCCTTTTAAGAAGTCCGACTAATGCAATTTGACAAGTGTATTCTTAGAAATACTACAAATGCAAGTAACTTGATGACATAAGAAAAACACCCAAATGAAGATTAGGTGAAATCTAGGAATATGAACAATAAGAATGTGAACCGAAGATGAAAAATTACATGAGGTTGTGACAAATAAAGCATCTAAGGCGACAGGTATACAAGAAACATCAGCTTTTTAATATGGAATATGATTGTTTCTCCGAGAAATAATAATTCTTTCACATGATTATGTATCAAGTTGACCATCATCTGCAAAAACTAATCACCCTTAGGAACTATCGCGTAACGAAGTTATGCATGATTTAATTTAAATCTTGCCAGATAGCAAAAATTAGAATTTCAAAGGATTTAGTGAATAAGTTTTTCTAAGTTTTACCTTAAATCTCAAATTTATTAAATCCAGTTTTCGACCAGGTTTAGGGGTTGTTTTGTAGCCAATTTTTAGCAGGATTTTCGCAGGATAAATTTAGGCTAAATCCTGCCTAACAGCAAAAGGCATCTCTTTATATCCTGAGATTTGGCAAGTCCTACAATGAAGCTGATTTACCGTAAATACGGGATTTAGTAAATCCCGTGAATCGGTGGATTTAATAAATTCGGGACGAGCGAAGAGGAAGAATGGCGCAAACAGGTTCACCTTCCGCATTAGTTTTTGGTAGGAGCGGAGCGGAAGGATTATAAAGATGAGAGTTTCGTTGGCCTATGTAAGCCACGATCTTGTCATTGCCTTCGCAAATAGCTATAATGGTGATTGTATCGTGAAGGCTCGTTCACGAAGGCGATGGTTTTAAGCGAAACCGGAAGAGGGAGAGGGGGGGGCGGTGGGAAGGTGCGGATGAGCGAGGGTTTAAACTGAGATGGGAAGTCTGGGTGAAACCGGGAGAGGAGGCCAGAGAGGGAAGTGAATAAATACTTGATTAATTTAATTAATTAATAATTAATTTATTATTAAATTGAATATAATTAAATAAATTTAAATGTAATTATTTAATAGTTAAGTTATGAATAAATATTTTAAAAGTTATAAAATATTCAATAAAATTTTAAGTAATTCTTAATTGATATCATTAGTTAATAATTAATTAATGTTATAAAAATTTATTAATTATTAATTTATATAACTAATAATTAATTAGCCAACCCCAGCTAGTGGGATAGGCTTGGTGTCGCTGTTGTTGTATAATTAATTATAACTTAATGTAAATGTTCTTTTTATGCATTTTTAGATGGCTTTTTAACTTATTTAATACTTTTTTTTATCTTTACTCTCATAAATCTTGTTAAATTCTTCTATAAATACCAAACAGTTTTTCAAGATTTTTGGGAATTAATCAATAACATATCAAATAATTTTCGGGATTTAGCCACTTCAAAATTTGATAAATCTGGATTTACAGGAATGAGTAAATTCTATTTAAACTAAATCCTACTCACAACCAAAGAGCCAATAGTGAAATTCGTAACCAAATAGCCCTTGGCATTTAGGGATTTAGCACCCACCCTGAAATAAAGGTAAATCACAGGTCTCACTATGGGCGCCCTACAACAAAGTTATACTAAATGCCCACCTACGGGGGCAGAGTTGTTGTAACTTAACCTCATTCAAGCTCCAAAGCAAGCAGTAAAATCAACTTTAACAACATTATACAATAATTAAACCTCATGTTACAAGTACAAGGGTCTTAATTATAACCAAAAATGAAATGACACCAATTGATTATAGCATATGTGACTTCAAACCTTGGCTCTCAAAAAAGTGAAACAATTCCAATCTAGCAACAGCATCAAAATAATAATAATAATAATAATAATAATAATAATAATAATAATAATAAGCAGATCAACCATTCATTTATATAGCACATAAAATCTCACTTTTAGTAGGTATTAGAACGCACCTTGACAAAATTGCCCAGAGTCTTTGTGGATCCTCGGGAAGACGTGAAGACATCCTCGATGCCTGCAAACTGGAGCACCTTCTTCGGAACTCTAGCGGCCACAATACCGGCACCTCGAGGAGCAGGAACCATACGCACCGTGACAGATCCGCACTTCCCAGTGACCTTGCACGGCACAGTATGCGGCTTCCCGATCTTGTTCCCCCAGTATCCCCTCCTCACTGGTACCACTGAAAGCTTCGCAAGAATAATGGCACCGCGGATCGCTGTGGCTACTTCTTTGGAGCACTTTACACCAAGGCCAACATGACCGTTTCCATCTCCGACGACCACAAAGGCCTTGAAGCGGGTACGTTGCCCGGCTCGGGTCTGCTTCTGGACTGGCATAATCTTCATGACCTCGTCCTTTAGGTGGGGGCCGAGTATCGTCTCCACGATCTGATGTTCTTTCACGGGAAGCGAGTGGAGGTAGATCTGCTCCAGACTTACAATCTTTCCTTCCTTAACAAGGCGGCCTAACTTGGTAACGGGAACCCACTTCTGCTCATCCTCACGGCGACCGCCACCACGACGGCCACCTCGACGGCCACCGCCGCGATCACCACGACCTCCACGACCACCAGACACCCACCCCCGCAACCCGCCACGATCACCGCCGCGATCCATCGGGTTTCGGAGTAGCGATAGAGAAATGTTAGCTAGGGTTTTTATTGGGGGGGCGTCATATATGAAGGGCAGGCAATCTGATCAACGGCTTAGATCTCCTTTTCCTATTTCCAGTTTAATCGGGTTTCATTTTTTGAATTAGGCACTTTTGATTGTTTCATTTAATAAATTAAAATTTTGAGAAACTTATTAAACTGAACTTGAAATTAAAAATGACATAGCTTTTAAATATCAAAAAAAAAAAAAAGAGATTTTTCATTGCCATACTGAGCTCAAAATTTCAGGGTATTTGTTTTTTATCATTCTTTTATTTTTTATATAAAATTATTATGGTTTTGGTATTATTTAACTATTTTTGTATGGTAGAAAATGCATGATAATAGAATGGGTAGTATTATGAGCCAAGATGAGACATGTATATAATGGATTGACTTTCTTGCAATCGGGCAAGTAGGCTATATGGAGCTGCAATGACGTCTGTAGGTCGCAGGGGTCAAAATCAGGAGCCGCACAACATACGAATCACGTAGGTTGTAATTGGTCACATAGGTCATATTCGTGAGTTGTGAAGACGTCTATAAGCCGCGGAGGCTGGAGTTGGGAGCTGAACGAGCTATGAATCACGTAGGTCATAGTGGTGAGTCATAAGTTTCGGGGCCAGAGTCAATCCATTTGATGCTCTTTGACAGAAAGCGAGTGGAGGTAGATCTGCTCCAGACTTTCAATCTCTCCTTCCTTCACAAGACGACCTAACTTGGTAACAGGAACCCACTTATGTTCATCCTCACGGCAGCCTCCACGACGACCACCGCCATTTATCAATCTTTTATTTTATATGAAATTATTATCTTTTTTGTATTACTCAACCATTTTGTATGGTAAATGCATGATAATAGCATATGTAGTGTTGTAAGTGAGCCAAGATGAGCCATGTATATAATGGATTAAACTTGCTTGGTCGAATCGTGATTTTTTCATGTTCAGTTCGAGCTTAGCCGAGCTTTCACATATATGTTTATTTGGCTTGATTAACTTTTTTGAATTTTCATATTTGATGTATACTTGTATTGTTTGTATTAATTGAACAAACTAAAAATTTGAATGAGAGCTTAATCTTTAATCGAAGCTAAAATTTTTGTTCATATTTGATGTGTGTTGATAGGTATGTGGTGGTTTAGTCATAAACTTAGCATTTTAATGTTGTTCGAGAAAATAGTAGATTGAGAAATGATTTTTACGTGGAAAACTCTAGAAAGGGAAAAATCACTGGTTCTAACCCAATTAAAATAATTCACTATAAATGATGAGTACACAGATTCACTCTTCTTCTAAATTTGGAAAAATATAGTTACAAAAACAATTATTATAAAATTACAATGATGTTTCATTGATAATAGTCATAGTCTGCATGTAATGAATGTTGTTTAGAAGAAAAGGTTGTAAAGCCTCAATTGATTGGTACAAAGGAAATAGCCCACCGTGAATATTATAAACAGTAGATGTATTGTCAGCTTGTCGTATAGGCTATAGTTGAAAGTTATGGTGATAGTTGATCGTGTAGATCACAGATGGTTGCTTTAGGAGCATCGTTTGACCATAGAGATCATATTTGAAAGCTGCAAGAGTTGGCCCGTGTAGGACGCAGTTGGTCACATCTGCTATAGTTATGAGTTGTGACGACGTTGGTATGTTGTAGGGTTTAGGTTATGGTGATAGTTGATCGTGTAGATCACAGATGGTTACTTTAGGAGCATCGTTTCACCATAGAGATCGTATTTGAAAGCTGCAAGAGTTGGCCCGTGTAGGACACAGTTGGTCACATGTGATATAGTTATGAGTTGTGACGACGTACATGTGATGTAGTTATGAGTTGTGACGACGTCCGTATGTTGTAGGGGTGGGCGTCGGGAGCTGCACAGTTGTGAATCTCGTAGGTCGTAGTTAGTTACCTAGGCCATAGTGGGAGTTGTGACGACGTTCCTAGGTCGCAGGGGTCTAAGCTAGGAGTTGCTCGAGTTGTGAACCACGTAAGTTGTAGTTGTTCACTCATGTCATAGTGGTGAGTTGTGATTACGTTCACTGGTTTTAAAGGTCAGAGTTGGGAGCTACATGAATGGTGGACCACATATGCCATAAATGGTGGGTTGTGATAATGTCCATAGGTTGCAGCGGCCAAACTACAAAGTTGCACGAGCAATGAGCCAAGTAGGTTGTATGAAGCAACAATGGTGTCTGTAGGCCAAAGGGGTCGGAGTCATGAGTCGCACAATTTATGAATCACATAGGTTTTAGTTGGTCACATAGGTCGTATTGGTGAGCTATGAAGATGTATGTAAGCCACGAAGGCTGGAGTCGGGATTTGAACAAGTGATGCACCACGTAAGTCGTAGTGGTGAGTTGTGATGATATTCGTAGGCCGCGGGGCTAGAGTCCAAAGCTGCATGAGCTATGGACCATGTAGGTCATAGTTAATCATGTAGATAGTTGCAATAAGCTGGGAAGACGTCCGTAGGTCGCAGAGTCCAGATTTAGGATATAGACAGGCAGTGGGCCATGTTGGTTGTATTGGTGAGTTGTGATGACGCATGTTGGAAGCTCTGGTCAAAGTCAGGAGTTGCATGAGTTGTGACCACGTAGGTTATAGTTGGTTATGTAAGTCATAGTGGTGAGTTGTGATGACAATTGTAAGCCGTAAGGGTCGAAGTCAAGAGCTGCACAAAGAGAGATTTAAGAGTCTGAGGAAAGTCATTATCTTTGGGATGTATTGTTACGCCGTATTTGAAATATGTCATTGCACCATAAGTGGGGAGTGTTGCTACTATGCAATGTACATCGATGTTTCGCAGTGCACATTGTGACTTCACAATAGACCCTATTGCAAGGAATATGTGGTAACTGATGATGGTGGACAGTGGCTGACAGAGTTATTGGAGGTAGCGGTCAGTTGGTTAGCGAGTTGCGATGACCGGAGTTGGTTAGACGTGGCGGCTGGTGGAAGTGCCAGAGGTGGCAACCAAAGTTGGCTGGCGATGATAGGGATGGTCGGCTGCATTTAAAGTTGGATGGGTGGCGTTGGCCTACAGCTGCAAAAACTAGAGGCCGACTTTGGTCAGAGGTGGTTTGTGACTGCAAGTGCAAGAGGTTGGCGGTGGGCAACAGTGGTTGCAGTGACCAGAGTTACCGGAGGCCAAAGGCGCTAACGATTGCTAAAGTTGAGTGAATCTATCGTGCAAGATGTCGGGCTTCAACTCTCTCTTTTGCATGCTCTGGTTTTCATCTTTCCCAAGGTCTAGCTCCTCTTCTCGTGAGAGGGCATAACTCTATTTATAGAGGCCAGGTTGCAAATAAGGAAGACATCCTGACCACTCTTGGTTGAACGCCCCAGAGAGATCACATTGATTGGATGGTGTTTGATGGACATTTAGTACTTTAATGGTCTCATAATTGAGTGTTCCTATACTTGTTGGATTTGTTTTGTCGATGTGCTCGATTTGACTATAAGTATATTATATTTGAAATCCATTTGACCAACCAATTATGCTCGGAAAGCTTTCAAAAGTTGTTTAACAGCATGATTAGAATTAGATTGAGTCGTTTTTGGTACTGCTAGATCTGTGTCTTTGGGACGGCCAATTTGCCTATAAGTTTGTTGAAATCATGGTTCTTAATGACCTTTAATTGAAGTTTTAATATTTCTTGCTAAAAAAATTACCTCGAAATTAGATTCATGCCTACAAATTCGTGTTAGATGGTTGAAATTTGTTGATGACGTATCAATACTAAATAAGTCAAACACAAACAAAATTTTGTTTTGATCATGGTAGACTCATGATAGTTTATTTTCTTAAAATATTTACATAAATATGAATTAATTTATATGTATTTAAATATCTAACACCTAAACTTTACTTTTTAGACTGATGTCACCTTATCTATGCATGAAAATATGTATTTAACCTTTTAAAAATTAAAATAATGTTAGTTTTTTTACGTGATATGAAATACTTGAGTGGTATAAAGATTAAAAATAAAGTTTCGGTGTTAGAAATATAAATACATACTAGTCGGTTGATATGTATGTAATAGCCACTTTTTATATATATTCATGATTAACACACTCCAACACACTCAAAAATAATTTTTAAACATTTCAAATATTTCTAAAAAGAAGTATATTATTTTAACTCAGTAAATATATTTTCTTTTGAATTAATCATGCCTCTCTTACCATGACTTTTTGGTTACACACTTAGAGCGGGACGAGGACTAGCTTGTCCCAACCATCCTAAATAAGTGTTGTGGATACCCATTTTTTAGGGATTTGAGCTTAGCCTTAACGATAAGCATTTTATGGTTAGTACACATTGCTTAGCTAACCTTTGTGGTATCTCGATTGACTGAATTCTTGTCCAATCAATACCTTGCATATGTAGAAAAGTCTTGTACTCTCCGATACATTTTATTCTATTTCAAGCTACTTGCAGACCTGAAGGTGAGTATATCTTGTTTAACATGGATGAAGATGGTAGATACGCTCATTCCACTTATCTTGGATGAGTATAGTATATTCCCTACCGCGGGATATGTTTTGGCTTTAGCCTTAGAGCTAAACACCCTGTGGTTGGTGCACCTTATCTTGACCAACCATTCTTAGGTATCTCGATTGATCAAGGTCAAGTGCATGGATACCTCTCTTATGCAGGAAAGTTACATACTTTTCCTAGCATTTTGTTTGGTTGCCCATTGTGTGTCGGCCTGGATTTTTCGTATCCCACTCATTTTAGATGAGTGTGGAATATTCCCTTTTATGGGATATGTCTTGGGTTTAGCTATAGGGCTAAACGCTTCGTGGTTGGTGCATAGTGTTCTTACCAACATAGTTTGGTATCTTGATGGACTAAGGTCAAGTTCAATCGATACCTTTTCATGTGCAGGGAAGCTACACACTTATTCCTAGCATTTTGTTTGATTAACTGCTTCATATTAGGTCTGAATCGAGTATATATTATGAACAT